TTTTTTTTTATGCGTCTACTTGTATTGTTAATTAAAATATGCTTACAGGAATGTATTTCATAACATTTAAGTTAAGAGTATCAAATACACTTACACAACACATACATATCATTTTAAAAGTTATTTTATAACAGTAAAAATTGTTAACCATATATCTTATCTATTATATTGTAATTTGTAACCAATATTGTTATATAATTTGAATAAATAAAAATAAAAATCATCAATACAACATTAAAATCTTTATCATTCAAGAATCAAATATTTTATTATTACTTGTTTATCTATAATACTAATTATTGGTCTTAATTAAATCCCCATAATACAATGTTTTTGAGTTCAGTCTATTRTTCAAGTAATTACTTTCTATTTCAGCCRAATTGCCTGGGCCAGCTAAAGAAATACACTAAATGACAAAACAAATTTATTATTAATAGACACATTGGATAATACTAATATTGATATAATATGTACATTATATTATATAATGTAAGCATCATCAAAGAAAAAATTGAAAACAAAAAAAAATGCTCTTATATAAAGAGCGCTTTACTTTAAAAAAAAAATAACATATCTACATATAATCAAGAATAATAATTTTAACTGATCCCTCATTTAATAAATATATTATTTATAGGTTTTCAAAATTTATCATCTGAGCAATTAATTATAATTTACATATTTGAACCAGAGACTAAACAAGTGTTYTGAAATCATATTTTAATCCCTAAAATGTTAGAAACCCAGCACATGCGAAAATATTACGCYGTCCAATGATTATTAATTTTGTATTTACCTTCAAAGTGCAAGGAGTTGCGTGATAAACTAAAATTATTTGTATTTAGTGATTTATTTCTTGTAAAATCTTTTTATTTAAATGACTACAGCAGTCTTTCCAATTCTGACTTGACAAGAGTTCACCATATATTTAGATTATATTTTGACAATAATATGTTTAACAATTTAACATAAATTATTATTCTATGTGCGTCTAAAATTATAAATTAAAGAAGAATACATTTTAAAAGAAAAATTATTCGAATCTTTAAATAGGTATGTATCCTAACCAAAACTCTTGTCATCCATTTGCAAATTGAACTAAAATATTTTAAACGGAATATTTTAATAGCAGTACCAGAATCGGAACAAAATAAATATAAGATCTTTTCCTGATATAAACATTATTTTAGTTTTATCATTGATTATAAATACTACAGTATTTATAATCAATGGTTTTATCAATGTTATTAAGGATTGACAATTGTGGGAGTGACAATAACAAATAATGTACTAGTTGATTATAAATTTATAATATTTCTATATTTCTGTTATTTTCTGAATATTATGGAATTATGGCCTACGGGATTGTTGTATGAAAAAGGCGCCAGTTGTCGGCTTACTAAAAAACTAATATTTTTTGTTAATTTAGGATAGCCATTGGTTACTAAAAATGGTTATTATAATAAAATAACATTTTAGATCTGTATTATATATAAGGTAAAAACCACTTAAATTATTTTATTAAAATATTTGTAGTTTACATTTAATGGAGTTTAAAAWGGTGTAAATCTACAGGCATTATTTCATTTGTCACGGGYAACACAGTGTGGSAGCAGCTAGTATATTTTATATAAATAATTTTCTCTTACTACCAATGAATTTTATACWCCACCCTATAGTTAATGTAGGTTTTTTCTTTWAAAGGTCTGCCAATTATATATTATGTTTGAGCGCAAAATATTCTATTTCAAGTTTTAAGCATTTAAATTATTTTCTTAGATCATTTAATGATTTTTTGCTACTAAGTTGATATCATATAAAATAACATTTTYATTTATAGTTATTTWWAAAAAAAAAATTACTCATACATGTTTTCATGTTGAGATTTAAATATTAGCTATAACAGACAATTAAAAYATAGATTAAATATGTTAATTTAYAGATAAAATCAAACATACTTGCTTGTGTTCAATATTCTTTGGGAGAAAGAATGCAATATTTTTAGTAATCTGACGAGTTAATTCATATAGGCGTTTACCACCTCCATAATTCGGCATTATATCATCAATGTCAAAAGTTGTTTTTTGTGAATATTTAGGGCCACCCCACGGAGGTGATAAAAACACAACGTCCGCTTTTAAAGTGGGAATCAAAGCATAGTAATCTCCAATAATAAATTCTATACGATCTGATACACCATAAACCATGGCGTTATTTCGTGCAAGTTCTATTTTAATTGGATCAATGTCTATTGCAATAACTGAAAAATTCAATGATTTTAATTAAATTCTCATATAAGTTTTAAATTGAATAATTATTTGTAACCATAAATGAATGAATACAAGTTAAAAATAGTCTACCTACCCTTTTTACTAGTTAGCGCAAATTGAATAGAATTGCTTCCAGCACCACAAAATCCATCAATTATTAGATCACAAGTACACCGTTCAGCAATCATTCGACTTATTACTTCTGGCGTCGCTGAATACCAACTTTCTTAAGAATAATATATAATATAGTATAATATAATAATATACAACTAAAAAAAAATACTTCTTTCTACATAGAAGGTTAGGTATACATGAAAATTCAATTTTTACTCAACAATATGAAATATCCACAGACCTAAAAACTAAGTTTGAATTCAAAAAAAGACCCGGTATAACAACAATGTCTTTTGATTTAAATATGAAATATGAAATATAATATAAATATATAATATAAAAATATGAAATATCCAGACCTAAAAACTAAGTTTGAATTCAAAAAAAGACCCGGTATAACAACAATGTCAATTAAGAATTAAACTTGTTTTTATCACAGTTTTATCTTTTTGTAACTCTTCTTTACTCAKTATCACCATCACAACATTGTGACAAAATATTTTTAATATAATAATATTGTAAYTTTATGCTTACCACTGTCTAATTTGATTCCTTGGTCATATTTTTTAAACAGTCTATATCTAGAATGCCAATATTTTAATAATGAAGTATCTTTCTGTATTTCAGCAGGTAGTTTTTTAAAAATTTTTGGATCCAATCTTTGACGCTTGG